TGACAAGCCTATATCAATGTATATCAAGGTTGATCCCAACACTAGAGGTCTAAGATAAAGTTTGTGTAGAATTAGCTAAGTATGAGAAGGCTGAAGGACTTTTTCAGATTCCTATGGCAATTAGACAAAGAAGTACAAGGGTACCGGGTAATCATTTACAATGTTCTATTCTAGTAGCCAATACCTTTTGCTTCGAAATGTTTGCTAATTGCTAACTAATTATCATGATCAGCTGATTGGTGGAGTTCGTTTGGTCATGAAACTCCTGATTTGCAAAAATTTGCCATCAAAGTACTTAGTCTTACTTGTAGTTCATTTGGCTGTGAGAGAAATTGGAGTGTGTTTGAACATGTGAGTACCCGTTGTCAAATCTAGTAGTGAATTCCAAAAACAAATTCAGTTATATACAAATTTAAATGCTTTTTTATTTATTGTTGTAACTTCACAGCAAAAAAAGAAATAGGTTGGCTCAAAAACGTCTCAATGATTTGGTGTTTGTGAAGTATAATAGAGCATTGAAGCGTCGATACATGAAATGTGCCAATATTGATCCCATCTCTTTGAAAGATATTGATGAGAGCAAGGAATGGTTGATTGGGAGGATGGAGAATGAGCTTGTGTTTGATGATGATTCTTTGGGGTGGGATGATGTTGCTGTAGCTGCTGGAGTTGAGGAGAGTAACCAAAGAACTAGATCAAGCACAACTAGGACAACACACCAACTTGTAGATGAAGAAGATGAATGGGAAGATGAAGATGAGGCTGAAGAGGAGGATGTGGATGGATACAAATCCAATGATGATGATGGAGGAGATGAAGTTCTTCACGCTGATGATGATGTCTATTAAGTTTTGAGTACAATTATGCAACTATAGGACTTATGTATTTTAATTTCTTTTTCGAACCACAAGTTAGAAGCTTAGTCGCATTGAAGTTTATGTGGATGATAATTTTAGTACATAAGGTTTTTGATGGATGTGAATGTCAAACTTTATACCATTTGTTGGATATTATACTTTTAATAATACTATATACATTTGTTATGTTAAAAATTTTGCCTATTTTATAATTTTGCTTTACTTTTATTATGTGCGCCTCGCCTCGCGCTTAGGCTACAGAAGACGTTATCGCCTCGGTGCGCCTGGAGCCTTTTAAAACACTGATCAGAATGAGTCTTGACTTTGTAGACCCATTTGCAACCAACCAGATTCTTACCAGTAGGCAAAGGAACCAACTCCCAAGTACTAGTTTTCTGTAAAGCAAACAACTCATCCTCCATAGCTTGAACCCAATGAGGATCCTGACAGGCCTCCTTGTAAGACCGAGGTTCTGAAAAAGAGTGAATAGCAGACAAAAAAGTACGATAGGAAGCAGAAAAACATGTGTCAGACCAACCCAACCTGTTTGGAGGATGATGCGCTCGAGTAGGATATTGGTGTGCAGCAAGATCAGAGTTGTCAGCAGGAGGATGATTAACAGCAGGGATAGAGACAACCGGTGGAGGAGGAGCCTTGCGACGAGAATAAACTAACAACGGAGGAGGAGAAGAAACCAAAGGAGGAGAAGCAACTGGAGGAGAAGTAGGAGGAGAAGATGGAACAAGCTCATGAGGAACTGTGGAGATGTACTCATCAGACGGGACTTCAGAAGGAAACATATCAATATGAACCAAATCCTCTTTGGAAACTGGGGCGGTGAGAGGAGGAAGCTGAAAGTAAGGTAGACATTCGAGAAAAGAAACATGACAAGAGACATAAAGACGATGAGAAATAAGGTCGTAACATCAATAGCCTTTCTGAGTAGGACTATAACCCAAAAAGACACAGAGGACAAACCGGGTACTAAGTTTGGTTTTATCTTTGCGGGAAAGAAGGACAAAACAACCAGACCCAAAAACACGAAGGAGAGAGTAGTTAGGAATTTGAGAAAACAAAGCCTCATAAGGAGACCGGCCAGAAAGAAGGGGAGTAGGCATGCGGTTAAGAAGAAAAGCAGCAATAAGAATTGCCTTCCCCCAGAGTGGAGTCGGAATTGAGACAGAGAGAAGAAGAGACCTAGCTATCTCAAGGAGATGACGGTGTTTACGCTCGGCTCGACCATTTTGGGCAGGTGTATCTGTACAGATAGTTTGGTGAATGGTACCCAAATTGGCCAAATACTCACAGAACTCATTTTTTAAATATTCTCCACCCAAGTCAGACCGTAACACTTTAATTGTAGACCCAAATTGAGTAGTAATCATAGACTGAAAGGTACGATATATCTGATAGAAATTGAACTTATGAGTCATAAAATAAACTCAAGTGTAACGGGTGCAGTCATCAATAAATGACACGTAGTATGTAGAACTTCCTTTGGTGAGAACAGGAGAAGGGTCCCAAACATCAGTATGAACTAAAGAAAATGGTGTATCAGATATAGAAGTACATTTACGAAAAGGTAAGGTTGTTATTTTGGCAAGTTTACACCCCCGACATTCAGTAAGTTCACTAGGAGAAACTTTACCTAATATACTCGACTGTGTTAAACACCGTAAGCGGTTAACAGACAAATGTCCTAATCTAGAATGCCACAAGTAGAAAGGAGTGGACAGAGAATCTAACTAAAAAGGGGAAAAAGCAGTTGGAAAAGTTGTCATAGCTAGATGCAAGCTCTCCACCACATAGAGGTCTCCAACTCTACGGCTAGTCCCAATCTACTACTTGGACATCCGATCCTCCACAGAACAAATAGAAGAAGAAAAGATAACATCAAAACCGGAGGCACCAAGCTGATTGATAGATAATAAACTAATAGATAACTGAGGAACATAAAGGACAAATAGAATAGAGACAACAGACATAGCAGACGGTAAAACAGACCCAACAGATATAACAAACATACCAAACCCATTAGCATTATTAACAGTAATATGAAAAGGAGGGAGAGTACAATTTTGAAGTAAAAAGAGATGGGGAGTCATATAATGAGAGGCACCAGCGTCAAAAATCCAGACAGACGAAGAGATACCTGAAGAAGACCCAAGCAAACCTGAATGAAGAGAGGAAATAATAGAGGCAGACAGGGATCGTTGGGAGGTAGACAGTGCATGTTGAAACTGACTAATCTGAGCACTCAAGAAAGCCAAGTCAGGATCAGGAGCTGGAGCAGATGCAGTAGAACCCACAATAGTCTGAAAATTACTCGGAGAAGAAGGGCAAAACTGGGTCTGAGACTGCTGAGAATACGAGCCAAACAGACGTCCCTTCTTAGGACAGTAATACTTCCAATGGCCCCTCTGATGGCAGAAGGCACACTTATCCGGAGCTAGAGACATCATAATAACCAGAAAGCTAAGGAGTTTCAAGTGTAATAAACCCTAAATAGCCAAACCAGGGGTTAAAGGATAATAAATAGAAATCTGATAGGGAAAAATCTAATAAACCAATACCAGATGGGTCAAACATGTCCAAACAGAACTAGAAAAGGAGTTGCGTAATTCCCCAAAACAAATATAGCGAACCAGAGAAGAGATGGGTCAACCAAGAGAGATAATACCTTAGATGGGTCACGCAATCTGACTTAGAACCGGCGAGAGAGAGAAAGCAAATCGTCGCAAGAGGGAGCTTAATCGTGAAGCAAAACTGAGGAAGAGTGAACCAACCAGAAAACCAGAAGTTGAAGTAAAGTCCAGCGAAGCAGAGAACCAGAGATCAATAACGAAGAGCTTCGATCGACATAGCCAGAGAGAGAGAACCCGAAGTCGAGCAAGAAGAACAAGGTTAGACAGAGGTGCGAGAGAGAGAGGGAGAGGGAGAGACCTTCGTGAACCAAAACGAGAGAGAGAAAGATCCCTCGCAAAACCAGATGGGTCAACGTGTTGTCGGATTGCAATTCTGGTGACAAATATGACTTCGATGAACACCCAATGGCAGCGAAACAAACACTAAAGATCTAGACAAATTGCGATGATGAACTGCGATGACTAGACGAACCAGACGAAACGACTAGACGAAGTACCCAACTCAAATAGGTCGACTTCGTGAGACCAGAGATCAGAATCAGAGATGGCTGCTAGGGTTTCGAGTCCTTCTGGTTTCGAACCAAGCTCTGATACCATGTTAATTTTCTGAATAAAACTATATATTCAATTGTGTTTTAATGCAATATGTACATCTGATATATATAGCAATTCTAGACCTAATCCTAAATAGGAAACAAGAATAAACCTAAACTAATCCTAAATAGAAAACAAGAATAAACCTAAACCAATCTTAAATAGGAAACAAATAAACCTAAATCAATCCTAAATGGGAAACAATATTTACATAATATATACTATACTAATATTATTCTCATAGTTCTTATACCAGCTTGTGTTACATTGAGAGATATGTATACTTGCACACATTGATCCTTTATAAGCAAGATTGTACCCCATTTGTCCCGCGATCAAGGAACTAGAAAGCATGACCCAAACGGTTATAGACTATTTCTTGACCAGTTCCGCTCCATGCCCGGGTCTTGACTGTCTGAGCTACCCATCCACTGGATAGTTGACTGCATGTTCTACTTGGCCATTTAACCTCTTGGTTATGCTGAGCAGTGTGATCGAGAAAAAATGCCTCCCACATATCCTATGTTGAAATATTGACATCATGTGAAACAAATGAGATACTGCTAGTTGTCCTATTTTCCTTGCACTGGTCTCCCAAGTGTAGTAGTACTTTCTCTTTGGCAGTTATGAGAACCTGGTCTCGGGGATTTGGCTCCCCTTCCCAACCAAGCATCAAAGAATAGTGTTTTTATCCATTATATGTGCTACAGAGACCAAAACCTCTTAGTAATATGTTTAGGATTGAATAATTAAACACAAAAATAAAACTAAGTCATGTAATTTTCTTTTCTCTTTTTATTTATTTTAATATTCTATATTTTATTGTACTTCATCATTTTCAGTTCAACCTTCATGTGTAATTAACAGTTATTTCTTCCCCCTCTAATTTTTCATTTTTACTCAGAGTACTCTGGACACAGAATTCTTCACAGAGTATGGGGAAGCAAGCAGATATCAAATTCAGGAAGTTGTTGGCAAAGGAAGTTATGGTGTTGTTGGTTCTGCTATTGATACTCACACTGGGGAGAGGGTGGCAATCAAGAAGATCAATGATGTCTTTGAGCATGTCTCTGATGCCACAAGGATCCTCAGAGAAATCAAGCTCCTTCGACTGCTCCGTCATCCGGATATTGTAGAAATAAAGCATATCATGCTTCCTCCTTCTCGAAGAGAATTTAAAGATATATATGTTGTATTTGAGTTAATGGAATCTGACCTTCACCAAGTGATTAAGGCAAATGATGATCTTACTCCTGAACATTATCAGTTTTTCTTGTATCAGCTTCTTCGTGGCCTAAAATATATACACACAGGTTTGTACCTTTCACTGATATTTTAGTCATTGTGGTCTTCCCTTTTTGCTAACATCTCAGTGATATCATAGTCATGATATCATTGTAGTCTATGTTCTCTTTGATCATTGCCATACACTTTGATCTCTTTCAGCGAATGTGTTTCATCGAGATTTAAAACCAAAAAATATACTTGCTAATGCGGATTGCAAGTTGAAGATTTGTGATTTTGGGCTTGCTCGTGTCTCCTTCAACGATGCTCCATCAGCTATTTTCTGGACTGTATGTTTTAAAACATATGACATTCTTTACTTCTTTGTCTTTTAATTCTTGATTATGTAGGCTTCTTATCTGAGATTATGTAATTAACTTTTATTTTTATCTTTTCAAATATGTCAAAGGACTATGTTGCTACCCGATGGTATCGTGCTCCTGAACTCTGCGGCTCTTTTTTCTCCAAAGTAAGCTGGCTTAATTATTGTACCATAACAATCTATTCTATTCTCGTATCCTTCAATTTCCAATTGTTGTAATGGCCCAAAATTTTATAGAATTGGTATTAATGTTTCTGAGCACTGGTCTGTGCATCATAATCCTTTTGATGTGTGATAAAGTAATTCTTTTGCTCAATTCAATTATCTCTGTGATTGATTGAAGAGTGGGCACTACAATACAATATTTCTTTAATTTACAAGATTTTTATTTATCGATTTTTGTTAAATTATAAATTCATGACCCAAGATATTTTTCTTTGCAGTATACACCCGCAATTGATATATGGAGCATTGGATGCATATTTGCAGAAATGCTTACAGGAAAACCATTGTTTCCTGGGAAAAATGTGGTGCACCAGTTAGATCTCATGACTGATTTGCTTGGCACTCCTTCTCCAGAATCCACTGCTAGGGTTAGTTGTCATGTTGCTGTATTGTTGTTTTCTATAATTAAATTAAAGTTAATTATTGCCTTTTAAACTAGTTTGTTTGATTTCTTATTCTGTGTTGCAAAAACCAATTAAATTAAAGTTAATTATTGCCTTTTAAACTAGTTTGTTTGATTTCTTATTCTTTGTGTTGCAAAAACCACAGCTCCATATTATCTCTTAAATGCTTTCAGGAACTTGAAATATTTTTGCTGTTGTGATTTTACCACATTGCATTGATATGATGAGGAGCTTTAGTTTATTTTACTTTTACTGTTGTTTCCTTCACAATGGCAGATAAGAAATCAAAAAGCAAGAAGATACCTAAGTAGCATGCGTAGAAAACCGCCAGTTCCATTTACACATAAGTTCCCCAGTGTAGATCCATTAGCTCTTTGCCTTTTGGAACGGCTGCTAGCATTTGATCCTAAAGATCGACCATCTGCCGAAGAGGTGGTGTTTCACAACTCAAATATTTTACCACTTGTACTGTTCCTAATTAATATTATCCATGTCAGAAAAATCTTCATATTCTGCTCCAAATATATTGTTATATTCTGTGCTTGCTTCTGCAGGCATTAGCTGATCCTTACTTTCATGGTTTGGCAAATGTGGACCGCGAACCAGCCACTCAGCCCATATCAAAACTTGAGTTTGAGTTTGAAAGGAGAAAATTGGCAAAAGATGATGTTAGAGAGTTGATTTATCGAGAGGTATGGTCTTGTAACACGATGCTTGTTGCTTTGGTATAAAAGTGTGGCTTTTGTTCGATCGCTAAACTTATATTTGGATCTTGTCTTGTGTGAACAGATTTTAGAATATCATCCTCAGATGCACCAGGAGTATCTTTGTGGTGGAGATCAGACTAGCTTCATGTACCCAAGGTTCGCACTTATTTTTGTTATTCAAACAAATTTTTTTGGGTACCATATGTTAGTTTGCTTCTGATATTTACTGGTGTTTAGAAAACAGAAAGTACTCAAACGATTGATTTTTTTTTTTGGTCGGGATATTCAAACGATTAATTATTATATTTTGTCAGTAATTGAGTAAAACAATTCTCCTTCAGGATACTTACACCCCGTTTGGTATCACTTGTTGTAAGTTAGCTTTTATGATTTTAGCTTTTTAGATTATTAGTTTAAAAGAATTGTATATTTGTTTGGTGCAGCTTTTGTTTATATGTAGAAAAAGTTCAATCTGTTTGGTTAAATAAGCTCTCGCATATCTTTTTTGTCGTGCATATTTCTAGAATGCCCTCAAAATCTTGTTACACTAGTGATTAAGACAAAAAGAAGTGGGCTCTTTCATCCATATGTATTTGAGAGTTTCAATAAGCTAGAAAAGGCTACAAATCGTAGCTTAAGAAATCTCTCTTTTTTTGATCAAATAAGCTGATAAAGTTAAATAAGTTATATTTTAAAATTGCAAAGAAACACCTTTAGTCAATTTTTTTCTATAGCAAATAAGCTAAATAAAGTGCTACCAAACGGGGCCTTAGTCAGAGAACTTTGTGCTATTTTTGTATTTGTATTATTTGATTACTGTGTTTATCTTCTGCACTTTTACTGTCTCCCTGGGCTTCTAAGAGGAATAAGATCACAGTGACTCATGTCAGTACTACTCTCATGCAAAAGCTCCAATCTTTCTGAGCTTAGCAGCCCACAGAAATCAGTTTAATTTCATCTATAACCAATCAGGGATTACTAGGTCCAAAATAATGTGCGAACCCACGCAACACAACAAAGAAATTAGTTAACTACTTATGCCGAAGGTCTGTTCTTTTATTTTCTTTTAGTTAAGTCGTTTCTGTTAGTGTTGATACCCCATTATCAATGTATACTCTGATGTATCTTATGCTTATTGTCCTGTTCTTTTCTCAACCTGCATCTATTTACTGCCATATCAATGTTGGTGTTCTGTTTGTTTAACTCTGGACCACAATTTCTTGCACTGGACTAGAGCTTCCATTGCATGAGAAATTCATGTCCCTCTGTTCTTCCATACCAAATTTTAGTCATGGCATTGGTGCTTCAAATGTTGTTACAATTTCACATTTTGGTTGCTTCCACTGCTTTCACTGATATATATAAATTCAGTTTGCCGATTTTTATTGAACTTCTTTTATCTAAAAGGGCAAACTTCACTTTATCCCCTGTGGTTTGAGCCGGGTGTGGTTTACCCCCCTGACGTTTGGAAATAACCACATAACCCCTTTGTGGTTTCTGAACCAAAATGCATGCTAACTTCTATTAATAGAATGTGTAAATTGACCTTTATGCCTTTGTCTTCTTCCTCTTCTGGATTTTGAATTGAACCTGCAAATATATATATACACACTGCATCCCAATCACCCTTACAGCCCACACCCCCTCTGATCATCTTCTACTTGAGACAATCCGTCCGCATGTCACTCCTCACGGCGTGATTGTTCTCTTGTTGTTTCTTTGCGTTGCCATCTCCGGCGTTGGCGAAACTTTGCCAGTTTTGAAGTTTGGCCCATCAGCGCTAGAGCTTGCCCCCCTTCTCTGGCGTCTTCGTATCCACGATTTTTCGACGTTTATGCACCTGTGGCAGGCCTGACTTGCCGCCGCTGCTGTGTGCCTCCGCCATTCTTGCTTTCGTTCTTGCTGTTCATCCGCCTTTGTTACTGTCAGTTTGCTTTGCCGGAAAAGGTCTGATCTGATGAGGGTTGCTGCCTCTTCTTCCTTCCTATAGCACCCCCTACCACCTCCTTCCCGAGCAGTAGAAAACCCAATCTGTTCAATCCCATTGATAATAATCAAACTATGGAAACTAGGAAACAAAATTATGTCCAGATATGTTTATACATGGACAACCCAGAAACAATCTCATTGATGGCCCTATCTATTACGTATATGTTTATATATTTTTTTAATCCCCACCATTTGTTCGAGTGTGATATATAACATGTATATATGTATGGATACTGTAAATATATATGTATAATTAGAAATGAAATTAAACAAGTAATAATGTTAAATACATTAGATTATAAATTAGGGATATTTGAATTAATATGTAATTTAATTAGTTAAAATGAGATTATGTTAAAAAATTATGTGAAAATAAAAATACAGATTATATATATATGCATTTACAGGTTTAGCCCAAGAATATATATTATACTGATTGTATATATACGTTACTCTTGATGGAAAGTTTGTGTGGATCAGTGGTTTGGGGTGGGGAGGTGGGTTTGGCAAGGTAAGAGGAAGAGGAAAGGGACGTTGGTATGGGGAAGGCAAGGGGGGGTGAATAGAGAGAGAAACGGTAGAGAAAGAATGAGGGGTAATTTAGTCTTAAAAATTCACTTACTCTCCTTCTAGACGCGTGAGCCTCACATACCGTTAATTTAGATAGAAAAGTTGATGGTGCGCTTTGGTCCAGAAATCACAGGAGGGTAAAGTGAAGTTTTCCCTATCTAAAATTTGCTGAGTTCTTACCCATCTTAATTGGTATGTCCTTCCAGTGGGGTTGATCGATTCAAGAGACAGTTTGCCCATCTCGAGGAGCATTATGGTAAAGGTGAAAGGAGTTCTCCTCTCCAAAGGCAGCATGCTTCATTGCCTAGGTAATGTGTCGAACATAAATGTGCAATTTTCTTACAACTATTGTTAGTTGGCTGTTTGGTAGTTTACAAAATTGGTTCCACTGGTCCAAATATTTGTTGCCATTTGACTATAATCCAGCTCTCTCTCTCTGTGTCATAAGTTTGTTTTTTTCAATGATTTTCCAGACAACCCATAAGATTTGTGTTTGCTGAACCCGATTTATGCAATTCTGATTACTATTAAGCTAGCCTGCATATTTGGCTTGAGGTGTAAGATTCTGCTTTCCTGTCTTCAGAGAACGCGTTTGTGTTCCCAAGGATGAAGCTACTTCCCAAAATAATGATTTTGAAGTGCGAACTACGGCATCTGTTGCTACCACTCTTAAGAGTCCTCCATCAGAAAATGCAAATACAGATGCACAAAATGGACCAAGCAAGCCAAACTACAGCGCTCGTAGCCTATTAAAGAGTGCTAGTATCAGTGCTTCCAAGTGTATAGGTGCCAAAGGGAGAAAAGATTCAGAGGTATGCAATTGCATCAAATGTTTGCCGTTGTTTGTTCATTTTGCAATCATCATTCATTGAAATTGATGTTTTGATGTTCACTGATAAAATACACTTCCTCACAAGGAAAATCAGAATGTTTGTAGAAATTGACCCCGTTACCATCTTTTTGTTTATAAAATTTTTATTTACTTATTAAAAGAAAATAAATGAAAATTGTAACGACACTAACAGAGTAATAAAAGAGAAAATTGGTGAATTCAGGATTAGCAGAGTAATAAAAGAGAAAATTCAGGATTAAGTTGTCTTTTTTGCAATTGCATGTATCTGTGCAAGTGCAATTATCTTTTGTTTTTAGCAACTTTTGATGTTTTGATCTACAATTTATTTTATTTTACCATTTTTTTTCCTTCAAATTCTGTATCTATTTATTTATTCATTACAGGGAGAAGAAATTGCTGAGCAAAATGAGGAGGTTGATGCCTCGTCGCAAAAAGTAGCAGCTCTCTGTGCCTGATTTCAAACTTCACTTTTATAACTTGAATAGAATCAGTTGGATCAATGTTGTGCACGACTCCAAGTTTTCCTGTTATGTTCATTCATCGAAGATTCATGATGACCCACCATCAAATTTCTTTTCTTTGTTTCAGGTAGAAGCCAACAGTAGGACCCTTATTGTTGTTACCATTTGTTTGTGTTATATTTATAACAATACTAGGAAGAAGAAATGCTCTCCAATTAGCCCTCTATTTATGGTTTGGAGATGCAAAATTATTGTATTTTTATTCAAAATGATGGTGATGACCAAATTGATATGGTGAGAAAGAATGGTCAAATCTATACCTTTTACCCACATATACAAGATTTTAAAGATCTGGTTCAACCCATTTCATGTTTTGATTGATGTATGATGCTGATCTGGTTATCTTTGTGATGGCATATACACTCCTTTGCTTCCAAAAGAAATACTTTCATTTACTTTGCACTTCAGAATGCGTAACGGCGGTAATGAAATCATCTCTCTGATTTCTCGTTTGGTAACATTTTCATTTCTTCTCTTCATTTCTTTGGAAACCGGTTACAAAATTTGTGTAGTGTATTTTTTTGTTTAGGGAAAATTAGAATTTGGTTAAAATTTTTCCAAAATTTTTGGAATGAAAAGTGTGTACCAAATAAGTTTTTTGTTTTTTTTAATATATTTTTTATTTTTTGCCCCACAAAACAATGTTTCTTGATAAATTAAAATTGGCAACCCAAATAATTTAAGAAACAAATTTAGTTTCCAAATGGAAATTTGATCTCTAATTTGTTAGAAATGAAGTAGAAGTTTATTAATATATATTTTTTTATCCTCTTCTTTCATTTTTCATTTATTTTCACAAATTCCTCTATAAATTGAAGTTCCAAATAAATGGACCTGTTTCGAATGTTCTATATAACAATTGTAAACAATATGAAAAATTAAGAATTACAAGATTCAATATCCAAATATGAAAGCAAAAATTCAAGATTTGGTTCTTCCCAGTGGCCATAACCACCTCACTTCACTTTTCTCTAAATTCAATTGGAAACTCCAAATATAACTAAAGTGCAACTCAATTCATAACTGCAGCAACTGCAGAGGAATTTGAAGTAATAAATTGGTAATTATAAATGAAATACAGTTAGCAGTACTATCAAAATTATTTTTTACACGAAAAATAAAATTCCAAGAATCAGCTTATAGCTTATAGGTAGAACTTGATTGTGCTTCCAAGTGCCAGGTCTCAAAAGGAGCATAGAATTGCTGCAACACCAAAAATGTACATCGTTATAGAATGAAAGACATAAACCCAAACATGTTAGGTGAGAAGTTGTCCCCAAAATGTGATATAATCAGACCCACCATCAATTGCTGGCAGACTGGCCTTTAGATCTTCCAAAATATTACAGAGTGCGAGACACTGAGACAGAATCCAAAAAATTTGAGATATGGCACCACTATAAAACAGGACACTGAACAAGCCGAGTCAATCCCAAAACATCAAATCAACAACTCTCTTAGGTGACAATCGAGAACAGAAATGGCTGTTAATTGATGAAGAGAAGATTGGAATAAACACCGTTGCTTCAACTGGATTTACAAAGGGTTTCAAGACCTCTGCACCTCTTTCTAATCAACTGAATTTTTTTCCACCCTTCTCTTTTTTACAACAAATTCATGATTGAAGTTTCCCCGAGTCACATCCTGGAAGAGGAATCTTCATAAAATGGTTCCTAACCACAGCTTGGATAACTAGTCAAAGAGTAGTCTCACTTGAATGCATTTCATTAGATGATAGTTAAATTTTGATCATCTCATTTATCTATTTGCTCTCACCAGTAATCCCCACAAGAACACACTCCACCATTGAAGTGGTGAAAGCGGTTGGAATCTCTTAAGATTATCAGCCTTCCCACAATCTTAGATATGTGTTTGATTGCAGTGTGGCAGTCTGCACACACCCGCAAGTTTTTTATAACACGGATTGGTCGCCCAGCTGGTATATTCAAGATCCCAAAAGCAACAGCTAATTTTTCACTATGATATTTGAGCATATGCTCCTTTTCCTCCTCATCCACATCATGTAAAACAAATTTTGTAGAACAAACATAGCCATCCTGCTTCATCCGTAAATCCAACTCCTCTAAGTAGGCATATATTCTACCTTTGTCTGGGTGGGTCGAATCCCCAACAGAAAATGTATGAATCTTGTTTTGCACTTCAACCCAACTATACCCCGGCACTTTCCTTACACCTGTGTCCCTCATTTTCACTCTCATCTTACCAACGTCGCCCCATCTACCTGAAGCTGCATATAAATTTGAGAGAAGAACATACATACCAGCATTATCAGGCTCCATCCTGAAAATTATTTCTGCAGCCTTTTCTCCCAATTCAGTATTGCCATGAATCCTGCTTGCACCGAGGAGAGCACCCCATGTTGCAGCATCTGGTTCAAAAGGCATGCTATTCATTAGGTTTTGGGCGTCATCTAGACGCCCAGCTCGACCAAGTAGATCTATCATGCATGTATAGTGCTTTGAGTTTGCAGTAATGCCATAATCCTGATACATTGAATAGAAATATTCTGTCCCTCTGTCCACTAAGCCGGTATGACTACATGCGGACAACACACCAACCTAAAATAAACACAAACATAATTGAAAGTGAAAAACTAAAAACCATTAGCTGAAGAGAAGATATGCACATATAAAGTAAAAATTAATAACAAAATAACAACTTATCAACCCTCAAATGGCAGAGAGAGAGAGAGTGTATTGTCCTATGTTATTATCACCCACTGAATCTACATCTGATGAAGTAATATAAAAAAATAAATCTTAGAGTAACTATACTTGGGAAATCTTATCAAATGGTTCCTCAGTTTATTGATCTATTTTGTCCACCGATGCTGCAACCTACCAAACCAAACCAAGCCTTGTGTTCCAATCAAGTGAGTTCGGTTACATGGGTCTTTTTTTGCCATTGTTCTCTACAAAGGGCTATATGCTCAGTTAAATTAATTAAATTCACATCTTTTGTCACTGCAGCATCGCAGCTTGATGGGATAAAGTAGGATCCTATGTTCTTATATAATGCCTAATATCATATAAAACGAAACCCACGAAAATAAATAGATAATTGCAAATTACCATTGTGACATCATCAGGTCTGATACCCACTTTCTCCATTGACTCAAAAACCATTAGAGCCTCTTTGCCAAATCCATGCCTTGCATAACCAGCAATCATTGTGTTCCATGAAACAACATCCTTCTCTGCAATATCCTCAAATACTTCGTATGCTTCATCTATGCTTCCACACTTGCAATACATTGCAAGAAGTGCATTCCCCACAAAGCACCCGCTCTCATAACCTGTCTTAACAAGCCGCCCATGCACTTGCATCCCGAACTCTAAAGCAGCAATATCAGCACATGTGCTCAAAACACAGGTAAAGGTTGACCTATTCAACTTTTCCCCATCTCTCTTCATCTCTACAAATAGGTGCAAAGCCTCTTCACTGAGACCAGTATGAGCATACCCTGCAATTATTGCTGCCCAAGAAATGCAATCACGTTGTGGCATTCTATCAAATAAATGCCTAGCGTGAGCCATTTCGCCATTCTGAGCATAGCCAGTAATCATTGTATTCCAAGAACTAACATTCCGACGAGGCATTGCCTCAAAAAGTTCTCTTGCAATGTTCATTCTCTTGCACTGTGAATATCCTGCAATCATTGCATTCCATGAAACAGAATTCTTTTCTGGCATTTCATTGAAAAATTTTCTAGCTTCATCCAGCATACCATTTTGCACGTACCCAGAGACCATTGCAGTCCATGTAAACACATCCCGAATTGGAGACTCATCAAACAATCTCTGCGCTTCGGACAATTCGCCATTCTGGGCATAGCCAGAAATCATGGTGTTCCATGAAACTTCATCTCTAACGGGCATTCTATCAAAAACCCACCTCCCATCGACTAACCTCTTCTTCCTCACATATCCACCCATCAAACAATTCCAAGAAACCACCTCCCAATCTGACTTCGATTCAAACAACCGATGAGCATCTTCTATTCGCCCATTCTGCACATATGCAGCTAGTATCCCATTCCACGAGATTGAATTCTTGTTGGGCATCTTGTCGAAAATCATCCTCGCCTCGTCAACATACCCATTCTGTGCATAACCCGACAACATAGCATTCCATGAAACAACATCCTTTTCGGGCATTTGATCAAATAACAACCGGGCAGCCCCAAGATTCCTATTCCGAACACAGCCGCTGATCATCACGTTCCAAGAAACCAAGTCCCTTACGGGCATTTTCTCAAACACCTCTCGAGCAAGATCAAACTGGCCATTTGATAAGTACCCAGATATCATTGCGTTCCAAGAAACAGAACTCCGGCGAGGCATGGTTTTGAAGACGCGGAGAGCGGATTCGCATTGGCCATTGCGCATGTGGTTGGTGATCGCGATGTTCCATTTCACTATGTCCGACTCTGTAATGGAAGATGATGAGGATGATGATGATTGATTGGGTGGTTGTTTGGAAGATAGTTTTGCTGAAGGAGATGGGTTGGAGGTTCTAGTTTCGGTAATGGTGGGTTGAGTTTGCCGGTTGGACAAGCAGGTGCTGTGGAACAGCCTGAGGCGCTGTGCAAGGCGCATGGCATAAATCACATCAGTCGGACAACATTTCTAACGGTTCAAACGAACAGTTGGGTTTTGGCGGGGAGGGTCTAAAGAAAGAGCAAGGATCTCTTAAACGATTTTTTTCTAAAGTTTCCTAGAGTGTTACATTGTGTGGTTGAGATTTAATGGCAAGTCATATCAATTTTTCTGATGTGACTTGCCAGTAAATTTTAACCACACTCTAAGAAACTTTAGGAAAATTTCACTCTAGAGGATCCTTGGTGCTAAAGAAATTCAATACATCGATACCATGTCCTCATTCAGTACGTCTGATGATAATCAATAACGTTTTTATTTAATATTATTAAAAAAGTCATTAATTATTAATTTCAGTGATAGTTTAAAAATTTTGTTATAAAAAATGTTACTGGTTATAAATTTTAATAATAGTTTAAAAAAATGCCACAAAAAGTTACTAATTTTTAGGAGTGTAAATCTGGCCCAGCCTGACCCATGTTGGGCCTCACGGGCTCCCGCTAAAATTCGAGCCAGACCGGGTCAAAAAAGTAGGCCCAGGCCCAACTCCAAGGGTATTCGGGTCTTGAGCAGGGCCGATCTGAGGGGCATGGGCCTGGTCTCGAGCTTGGGCCGGGCTTGACCAATTTTTTTTTACTAAAATTTTATTATTTTTCACTAAAAAGCACTGGGTCTTGAGTGGGTCGGGCCTTTAAGCGGGCTGATGGGTTGGCCTAGGCCCAAGTTTAGGGACTCAGACGGGGCCCAAATCGGGCTGTGGGTGGGATTCGGACCGCAGGCTATTTTTACACTCCTACTAATTTTCAACTTTCAGATAGTTTGAAAATTTTGTCACAGAAAAACGTCACTAATTATAAGTTTTAGAGATAATTTATAAAAATCATGATAAAAAAATTACTAATTGTCAATTTTTAGTGACGTGTAAAAAATTGTTATAAAAAATTATTTTGGCAACTATTTTACTACGACTTATTTTCAACAGGATTTGATGAGAATTAAGTTTAATAATTAATACCTATCGATAACTTACCCAATGATTAATCTCTGAACTTTCAGTTTGAAAGTATACAAGTGATCAATCGCTAACCCAATTAAATATAAATAGTGTGGGTGTTGATTTTTGACAACACAACCAAACAAGAAAACTCAGTAGGAAAACACCGGTAGAATAGATTAAGCATGAACAACCTGTTTACAGAAAGATAAGAATCCGGCAGTGGTTCGTTCACTCGGGGGCACTTCGACGATCAAGTTAGTAATTATCTCTCAAAGATAGCCAATAGTGCTTAACTCACTAGACAGAGCATAAAAAGCATACTTTAGACCCACGAGTTTGTCTTACTTTTATAGCCAGCACTAACTTGATCCTTGTAAAAACCTAACTTTAATGAACTTTGGCTCAATGCTTATCGTGGATTCCCAATTAGATAGATATAAACTCCCTAAGAGCTTTATCTTTATCCAGACTGAAATCCTCCCCTGTTCTAGGACTCTTGTCCCTTATCTGCTTACCCCGGATTCCGGCATCTCTGTAGGTAACCTCGGCGTGGCCGAGATCACCTCGGCGTCAGGACCATGCTACGTGGCACCTCGGCTGACACTTCAGTGTCACCTTGGCCATATGCTGTCATTTACAAAATATGCCTCCACAACTGCCCCCTAGGTTTTATTACCTCGGTAACCTGAGGTGATGGAACCTACACTGCTATTCATACATTATGTCGGCCAAAATTCATTCTTTCCTTCGACTGAGATAATTACTCATCGACTTTAAGTACCTAGTACTTAACTATCTATTTTTATCAAGGATCAAGAACCAAGAACCTAGAACCAAGTTCTTTAAGTATCTTAACTGAGATCGTTCCTCTGGCTGATATTTCTGCTTCATTAAATCAAGATCTCCAAGAGTTTTATTTGCTCATGAGCTGTCACGCACAATTTTCCCAACCGTTTCCGCCATGCGTCCTTCTCTCATTAGTTTGTACCTGACACGCGCTATCAAGACACGTCGCTTCTACGCACGCCGCCTGGCAGACACATCGTCCAAGACATATTATTATGGTTTGCCGCCTTTTCGGGATTTTGACAAAACTTCTCTCTCTCTCCGTCTCTTCACTTTTGCAAAAAACAATCTCCCTTGTTTCGCAAATTTTCTTTCTCTAAAGCAAAAGAAAAACTCCCAAACCACCATTGCCGCTTCTCTGAACTTTCTGCAACTGCTCCGATCGTCTCCTCCGGCACTCTTTTCATTGTTTCGCTCCAGCATTTTCTGTCATCTTACTCCAGCGGTCATTACTCCGGCCACGGTTCCTCGGTTTTATTTGGTAAGTTCTTAACTTCTGTCTTTTCAAATTTCAGCCTCTCATTCTTGATTTTGCTTTAAATCTGCCATTTGTGCATATTATTTGTTGTTATTCTGTCTCTATCTCCATGTTTTGACCTTCGTGAATCGCATCACAACTTGTTCCTAATTTCAAATGTGTGCATATTGCTTCTGGTCTTTGCATTTCACACACACTTTACTTAGTGTTCTGCAAATTGGTGACTTTCCTTATTCTTGAATCTTGGCCGCTTTCTTGATTTTTGAATTATGTTCTTTTTTCTGTTTTTCTTGTTGTATTTCCAGATTTTTGCCCTTACACCTTTGTTTTCGTGCTTAGCTTGTAGGTTTGGGATTTGCCTTGAAAGCAAACACTTAGAAGAAACTGAAACAAACTCCCCGTAGATCTGAGAAAACCATAGCTCCAGTGCAAATTTAAGCTTTAGCTGAGGTGTTCAAACCTATAACCATTACCCTATCGATCAAATCCTTTACCCCGAGATAATGGGTATGTTCAGATGGAGGGTTGACAACCCAGAAAAACTCGAATATTTTAAGAGAGAGTTTTTTATCCCCACCGACGTCCAGATTAGGTTAGCCGGGAAGGAGGACTCCATTATGCCAGATGGAGGGTTCAAACCTATAACCATTACCCTATCGATCAAACCTTTTACCCCGAGATAATGGGTATGTTCAGATGGAGGGTTGACAACCCAGAAAAACTCGAATATTTTAAGAGAGAGTTTTCTATCCCCGCAGACGTCCAGATTAGGTTAGCCGAGAAGGAGGACTCTATCATGCCGGATGGAGACTTCATGCCCTTCCCCGTTGTGGCCTTCATAGAATGCGGACTTTGGCTTCCCTTAGATATTCTCTTCAGGGAAATCCTTCATTACTATAAACTCAACCCGATGCAGCTAGCTATCAATTCCTACAAGGTTATTAATGGTATAATTGCCCTAGCTCGCCGAGAAAACGCTAGGATAACATTAGCCGACATTCGGTATTGTTACACTATGTGTGGCCTAAAGTCTCATCATCTCGGGCAAGTTGGAGTTTGCTCCTGATGACGATCTTCATCTCTTCCCTCTACGCCGAACGGTGTTTAAAGAGGCTGATGGTAAGAACTGAGTCATTCTTTTAATCACATTTCTGTTAGGACTTGTCAACTTATATATCTTCATCTGAATACTTTTGCCTTTTTTGTTCTTTTTTGCAGCTCTTCTTCAGCTAGCGAAGGACTTCTGGCAAACTTTTTTCCCAGTAAGGACTTGAAAATGCTTCTTGGTCTCCCATCAACAAGTGCAAAGCCCCTTTACTACTCAATTACATCCCAATGTACAAGTCGGCTTTGCCCGACATCGCTTGCAGATGTCTAACTCGCAGATGTTTAACTCCACCATCTGCCTCAACCGCTCCAGTCACTTCCTCACCAAGAATTGATCAGGCTCCCTCTTCTGATCTTGTTGAGCTGTCATCAATCTCTGCCCCCCAACTCATCCCGATATCACAATGCTAACGCCGACACCGACGTCGAGCTCTACCAAATGTCCCTGCTGGCAGAACCCGAAGCCGCATATGACGAGATTCTGAAGAATCAGCACTTGACCCAGCAAACCCACAAATTGCTCTACCAGTAATTCATTTTGGTACCAAAATTACCATTGCTGCAATCGCTGAAGAAATGGGCCATAGCAAAGTCGTTGTGGAGGATCTCTTGGCTGATCTTCCAGGAGTTGTTTCCGTTCAGTCTTCTCTATTAGAATTCCAGTCTAAGCAAAAACCAAAAAAGGTAAAAAGGGCTAAGTCAAAGGCCCCAGTTACCCAAGTTGATATTGATGATACAGTGTCAATCTCAAAATTGGCCGAGGTTGAAAAAGTGCCTCTAACGGCAAGAAGAGGCCTGCTAAGGACCAGCCAACCAACACCTCGCGATCGAAGAAGCCTGTGATAACCCTGTTCGGTATCATGCTAATGGGTCCTTATTATGAGTTTGATTATATGTTTAATATGATTTTGTGTGCCATTATGTAAAAATGGGAGATTTTGAATTTCTATCTGTTCACCGTAGGAATATCTGTTTGCTTATCTGCTTTGGGAATTAAATTGACGGCCTTATCGGCCACAAAACCCGAAATTGATTACGCCATTGTGATTAGCTTAATTTTTAGAGCTTGCGGTGAACTTTAATTAGAAATTGATTTGGATCAAATTAATCAGATTGAATTTGATGAATTAGTGCTCAATTACTTTATATTAAAATAATGTAACCAAGGGAGCTCTTCTTAAGACCATTACACTCTCATTTTGTTTCCTTTTGAGACCAGCGTCTGCCATTATGCTCTAAAGAGAGGGAGGGGCTGAATTTTAGTGAGAGAAGAGGCTCAAGGTAGAGATTTGCTAAGGAAGTTGGTAATTTTGAAGCTACACTCAAGAATTAAGCATAAGCTTAGAAGATAAAGCTCCTGGGTAAGTAAATTCATGAGTTTGAACTTGTGATTTTGTGAATTAAAGATTAATTGGTGATCAAGAACAAGAGTTGTGCTATAATTGATGAATTTGAAGTTAATGTGCACATGCATGTATAGGATCACCATGATTTTTACATAACCAAGCATGTATTAAGTTGAATATGGAAATATGAGTGTTGAATCATACATGCAAGCATAGTTTTGTTGAGTTTCATGGTTATAAGCACCATTTGTACCATTTGAAATAGAAATGGAGTCAAGAATTGACATGCATGCATGATTGATGAGAATATG